AACAGACGAATAGATAGAGAAACAGATGGATAAACAGATATATAGTTAGATAGACAGGCAGATAGAGAGTTAGACAGATAGATAAACAGTTATATGGATAGTCAGATATATAATTAGATAAACATATATATATAGATAGATAGACAGATAGATAAACAAACAAACACACACACACACACACACACACATATATATATATATATATATATATATATATATATATATATATATATATATATATATATAAACAACATAAATATACCCACAACCAATGTACCTCGAACATATAAACACAGAAAACAAAACTTTAATAAATTTCAAAAAACGAAAACTAATTCCCATTCCTTCCCCAATTCCAGTCTACCGATGGAGGCGAGGATGAAGATTTCCAAGAAGACCTTCAACCCGGAATGCGAACACGAATACAGGGGATTTTTCCCTGTGATTCCCGGCGAAGTTTCTCACAAGGAAGGTGAGAGAGAGAGAGAGAGAGTGAGAGTGAGAGAGAGAGTGAGAGAGAGAGAGAGAGAGAGAGAGAGAGAGAGAGAGAGTGAGAGAGAGTGAGAGAGAGAGTGAGAGTGAGAGAGAGAGAGAGAGAGAGTGAGAGTGAGAGAGAGAGAGAGTGAGAGAGAGAGAGAGAGAGAGAGAGAGAGAATGAGAGAAAGAGAGAAAGAGGGAGATAATGAGAGATAGATATATAGATAGATAGATAGATAGATAGATAGAGAGAGAGAGAGAGAGAGAGAGAGAGAGAGAGAGACTGTGGGGTTATTCGTTTTCTTTTTCCTTTTTTTTAATTTTGTTTTATTTGTTTGCGTGATTTTGTTGTTGATTTTTTTTGGTATGTTTGTAATGTAAAAAAAGAGAAGTATTGAGAAATGTGTATATATATGGGAAAGAAAAAAATGATAATAATGATAGTGATAATAATGATAATAATAATAATAATAATAATAATAATAATAATAATGATAATAATAATAATGATAATAATAATAATGATAGTAATGATAAACAAAAATATAATAATAACACTAGCAATAATATTAATAACAACAACAACAACAACAACAATAAAAATCACAATTAGATAAATAAAATAACCCCGCATCCCCCCCCAGGATTCGAAATGGGCCCCAAAGTGGAGAACCGAACAATTCCAGCCAAAACCGTCGCCGCCAGACTCTTTAACGAGGATAACCAATGGCCGACTGAAGATCCCGCGGGAGATGCCAGTATGCCCAAATATTTCAGGGTACGGCGGCGTGAGAGATTTATTGTGTGGTGGTGTGGGTTTATATATATTTATATTGTGGGTTTTCAGATTTTTGGGGGGGGGAAATTTGAAATTATTATTGATATTCACTTGCATGTTTTTTTCTGTCCTATTTCTCTCTCTCTGTACCCCCTTTTTCTTTCTTTTTCTCTTTCCTTGTTCATTGCCTTTTCTCTCTCCTTGTTTCCTCCCTTTTCTCTTTTCTTGTTAATTCTCTTTTCTCTCCTTCTTCCTCCCCTTTTCTCTCTCATTCTCCCTTTTCCCTCCCCCGCCTCCTCCCCCTCTCTTTATCCCCCTTCCTCACTCCTCCTCACCCCCCCTCATACATCCCCCCACCCCCATACCTCCTCCCCCTCCCCCCCCATACCACCTCACCCCCCCCCCCTATATCTCCTCACCCTCACCCTTATACCTCCTCAAACTCCCCCCCTCCCCCCCCACAGACATGGATGGAGGAATACCACAGAAACATGACCGACGCTTCCTTAGAACTCCTGCGTCTCATTGCTGAAGGATTCGAGGCGCCCACGGACTTCTTCACGCCCATGTTTTCGGGAAATCACCTGTCCACGCTGCGCCTCATTCACTACCCGCCGCGCCCGAACCCGCCGGATGAAGCGCGTGATGGTGATTATGGTGAGTTGTGGGCGTGGTGGTGGTGTTTTTTTTGGGGGGGTGGGGGTGGGGGGTGGGGTAATGGGTGGTTGGGTGGGAGTCATGGGAGGTTGGGTGGTTGGGTTGGGTGGTTGTGATGGTAGCAGTGAGAGGTTGTGATGGGGGTAATGGGTGATTAAGATGTAATGGGTGATTGGGTAGGAATAATGAGAGGTTGTGATGTGTCAACTAGAAAGTTCGTGAACACAGTTTGTCAACAGATATCAACACAGGTGAATGAAAGGGGTCCTGGCTTGTTGAGATTATTACTGAAGGTAGATGTGAGACCCCCAAGAGACCCCCGTGTCCCCGGGGTCGAGGACGAGGTGGTGGAGCTGGACCCTGTGTGGCTTGGTCTGTCTGCCGTGTCTCTCCCTCCCCATCTCTGTCTGTTGAAACGTGTCCTTTTATGCGGCGCCTCCCTTTGAGGTCGGATGCTTACTTACGTCCTAGAAGTGCCAAAAGAGAAAGCAGAGCATGGCACCTGCGTCCATCCAAGGAGGAAAGGCAGCTGCTGGGTACAGAGGTGTGAAACGTACCCTCCGCTCTTGCTATGTATTGTATTGTTTACATGTTGTAATGGGTGGTTGGGATGTATAATAGGAGGCTGTGGTAGGGGTAATGGGAAAGTTGTCATCGGAGTAATGGGTAGTTGTTGTGGTATAAATGGGAGGGAAATAAATCAGAGGTATTGACATATGAATGATTAAATAGCCAGTGCAATAAATAAATCAACAAACAGTTAGCAAAGTAGAAACGGAAGTAAAATGAATGTATTATCATAGGAGAGAAAATCCACCAAAACAAACAGGAATCTGACCACAAAATAAAGAAGTAAAAATACCTAATAAATCCTTTATGTTTTGAACAGTGATCCAAACGGCCGAACACAGAGACACAGTGATGGTAACACTGCTGGCCACCTTCAAAAATTACCCTGGCCTTCAAGTGCGCTGGATAGACGACTCTCTGCTGGACGTTCCTCACCGGCCTGGCCATCTGGTGGTCAACATTGGGGCTCTCCTGGCCACCATAAGCGGAGGGAAGCTGAAGGCGACGCGACATCGCATCATCGACTGCTGCGGCGACCGGTACGACCGTTACAGACCGTGTGTCCTCCGTTTAATATAAAAAAGAAGGGGTGAATTTTTAAAAGATATCCTTGAATATCAAGAAAGGATGCGTTTTTTTCGGTTTTATTTTTTTTAAATTTTATTTCCTTTTCGTAACAAAAAAGAAACTAATTCTTCCACTTGGGGTTCAAACTATATAGGAACATTTCCCGTTCAGGTTTAAACAGAAAGAAAACTATCAACGTTCTGACATTACTATGCTTGATTCTTTCTTCACTTTTACACAGGTTCTCAGTACCCTTTTTCTTGGAGCCTCGCTACGACGCCAACATCAACGTAGTCTTACCCGGAGGAACGCCCGAACTATCCAGTGACAAGAATGAAAACGTGGAGTACGGTCCTTGGCTGTTTAAACTGACGACCAGATTCGCCGAGTACAGAGATCTGATCGAGAGGGCGTCCAAGGAGAGTATTCCTGCTTACTAAGTGGATTGAGAATGTTACATATGAATTATGTGTATCTTTTTTTTCTTATGGTTTGTTCTTGGTGATATTAAAGAAATTGTAGGTATGTTAGGAGGGATTTTAGTGTTAAAGGTATATGGTGTTAGAGTGTCATGGTATTTCAAGATGCTGGCTTGTTTCATCTGTGTATGTTATGGTATCTGATACTGATATAGATGATTTTTTTCGTGCTGTATATTATATATTAAATATTATAGTGTAAGGGAACGAGTATATGGGTGGTCACACTATCAAAGTTTTATAGAACTCACTGTAATAGAATTAGAGGAATGGTTACAAGACAGGTAACAAGTATTCCAACATTACAGCATTAGATTTACATGATTCTGATAAAGTAATATCGAAACGTTAATTAAATATTTTACCGTATGGAAATATTCATTTTCCTTTGTCCTGGTTCTATCTATCTGTTGAACATGATTATGTAAATTGCAAATCACGGAAGAAATCTAATTTTGTAGATCAATTTATGATATTAAACTTTGATTTTGAGTTTCCAGTTGTAGCATTAACGTTCTGGTTGAAAAGTAATGGAACAACATGTAGAAATATTAATGTTGATTATTAAGACAGTTGTACATTTCATCTAGCATGTTAAAAGTGAGAACAAAGAACAGAAATTGAAAGTCATTACGCCAGAGAGATAAACCGAAAATACGAAAAGATGCATTAAATAGGCAATGTTCTTGTAAACCTGAAAAAGAAAAACGTCACTGTGAAAATGAAAATCGTTATTAAATAAAGACCAAGCAAACGGCTGCCTTAAATAACCGACTTGCCTTTAAACGTACGTTGAGCAATGGCAGAGTAATTAACTGAACTCGAGTTGGTTGGACTTCTCGGCTGTGTCGCGGCTGAGGTCCGGCGCCGGGTGCCCTGCGCCGTCTTCCACAGGCACCTCCTCCGCGTCCTGGTCAAGCCTGTTGAAGGTGTAGGCAGCAGCGAGGGGCGCCGGCTGGAAGGAGGGAGGGTCGTGGCGGGGGAAGGTTATGGGGCGGAAGTCGAAGTGACGGAGACTCATCGTCCTGGACGCCTGTGGCCACGCCCAGGTGTCGGAGGGAAGGGCTTGGCGCGGAAAAGGGGCTGTTAGGGGATTGTGAGGATCGTATGGGATGGATTATGTCGCGTTTGACCTTTCAAAGGAGTTCTAGTATATAATAATTTTACAGAAAATAGAACATAAACATTAACAGCAAGGCATACTATTCTTTCTTACCTTATACTCCATGACTCAATTTACATGAAGTGAATACTTGACGAGAAGCTAAAATCGTTTGTATATTAGTTAATAAAACTTTCCCAGTGAGGAACTTCATACCTTCCTCTTCAGGAAATTTGTCTTCAGAACTTTAGCAGCAGCAATAGCTTAAGAGTTTACGATTTGCACATTCTCTGAGGCACTCGTCTTGTATTAAAAGCAAACACAAAAACTGGACAAATACATACACAGGTAAAAGAAAGCGAGACAAAAATACATATCTAGTCTTTATTTAGATTTTTTTTTACAGAATTAATCAACCAATTAAATGAACAGTCCAAGATACACAATGATCAAAGAGCTGCTTATTATTAATTAATCACGAGTAACCGTGAAAATTTAATACAAAGGAAATACACAAATAAAAGAAAACAGACAGATCTAGGTGGGAACATTCCACATATGAAATGAAATATTGTTTTAACACAGACAACACACAGGTGAGGACTTTCTCTGGAAAAGTGTTCGAGTGAACGAAGCGAAGCAGTTCATTCACAAGCCAGTCGTGTTCGAACCCTTTGAGCTTTGTTCACACGAACACATTTTTTCTCAGAGGTATTATAATGTAACAGTGTATTCCTTTAAACGACAAACACAATTATAAGTTAACAAAAACAAGAACAGATTATAGCTCAACTATTGTTTATACATTTTTTTTTTGTTTTGAAATGCAGCGGTGGTGAGCAAAGCGCTCAGGGCACTCTCGTGGCAATGCCCTGTAAGGGTCGCAGGAGGTCAAGCTGGGTCAAGTGACGAAGCAGTTTTTAATTGTGACTGACCTGAGAGTTATGTTCTGAATCCTCATCCTCGGACGATTCGCGTGCCTCCTGCGGGACGAAAGAAGGTGGTAATAGGACTTAAATGAAAGAATCCATTGATGTTCCGAACTTAATTAAAATGTACGGATTGCAACCTTCATCACTGATTTAGATTTGTATCAGTGAATGAAATTACTCAAAGTTATGAAATGCGGATGTAGGCTAATTCAACTGTGACCAGTTATTCAGATGTAGTTTATGCATAAAATGAGTCATGAATGTATACACAAAATAGGCTATGTAGAAAAACCGAGTAGCTAAAATTTGTTTATGTATAAAATGTATAGTTTATATAAGAAATATAGCAGTATAAAATTAAGTCTGTGGATCATACCAGCAGCTTAAACATACAACGAATAGTTCATACACGAAAAACTACAGTCCATTTATACAATTATACAATAAAATAGCCAATGTACACATAAAAAACAAACCTCATTATGCTCAGTGACTGCCTCGGTGTCGTGGGCGTTTCCGCGGGCCACAGCGGTTAGAGATGGATGTCCGACCTAAAATATGGATACATTTTAGGTGTTTAGCCCGTTTTTGTAAGTGTGGTTTCGTATGCCGTGAAATGATGTAGTTTAAGCAAGATAATAATTGCATTTTAGGTGTTAATCCGCCGTTGAGAATGAAATGAAATTACATTTTAAGTTCATCCCGTCGTTTGAGCGAAAGAAACATAATCATTATTGTCGGTGTAGCTATCATAGTTAATTGCCGTCATACTAATGACTCTCATAATCATTAGTCATTATCACTGTTGCACAAATAATGAATCTTACATTAATTACCCTCATAATCACTACTGCAGATATTGATATTATACTAATTACTCTAATCATTACTGATCATCGTTATCTCACCTGTGCCTGAGCGATGGGTTTGCCGTCTTCACCGAGAATGACAGGAATCTGAGGAAAAGGGAGAAGGAAGAATGGAATTAAAGTTTCACTTGTTAAATCGTGTCGTAATAGAATAAAAAAGGAGGTAATAGATAAAAAAGAAAAATATAGATAATAGATATGAGAATGCTTGAGTGATAGAAACTAAAAGAATAGATGAGATAAAAATGAAAGAATAACTGATAAGAAATAGAAATATAGATAAATAAAAGAATAAATGAGAGATAGGAAATAAAAGAATAGATAAGATAAAAAATCAAAAGACTAAGATTTAAATTTAAAAAGGAATATAGATGAAAAATAAAAAAGACAAATGGGAAAGACATATATATATATATATATATATATATATATATATATATATATATATATATATATATATATATATATACAAAAACACATACAGACAGACACGAAGTAATGGAGGAGGAGGAAGGGGAAGAGGAGGGGGGAGGAGGAGGAGGAAGGGGAGGAGGAGAAGGAGGAGGAGAAGGAGGAGGAGAAGGAGGAGGAGAAGGAGGAGGAGAAGGAGGAGGAGAAGGAGGAGAAGGAGGAGGAAGAGGAGGAGGAGGAGGAGGAGGAGGGGGAGGAGGAGAAGAAAAAAAAGAAGAAGAAGAAGAAGAGGAAGGATGAAAAAAAGAAAAAAAAGGAAGGAAAGAAAAAAGGGGGGGGAAATAAAGAAAAGAAAGATAGGAAAAAAAGTAAAAACAAGAAGTAAAAAAGCAGAAAGAAAAGAAAAAAATAAGAAAACGAGAAAGAAGAAAAAGCCTTTCCGTCCAGCCGCTACCTACAGGGATTCCCCGACGAGTGGTGGTCTCCTGCCTGTGTGGCCGCAAGATGGCGCTGCTGCTGGTGGTCTCGTCGTGGGAGCTGCTGGCGGCGTGTCCTGAAAAAAAAAACGTTATATATAGAGAAATAAATCACTGAGTTTTTTTTCTAGAAGATGATTGGTAAGCTGTGCGAGTTAGCAGATAAGTGGCATCTGCCGATAGGATTAGCAATGTATTAATTAGCAAGCAATTAAAATATCTCGTTGAACTCACCTGCAACGGGGTGGTTAGCCTCCAGAGTAACAGACCTGGTGGGTCGACTTCCGAAAACTCCACTGTGAGAAAAACAAAGAAAAACATTAAACACTAAAACAATAAAAAGAAAAAAAAGAAAATCCTAAATAGGCAATGAAATTTACAACCGAAGTATAACAGAACTCACCGGTCATTATGAAATCTTTAGACTCCTTTAATGAACAATCGAATTTATACACCCCAAAGTACAGAGAACCAAATGACAGCTTTAGAACTTACCGGATGGGACTCGATGCAACACTGCCGACGACTGTGTGACGAGAACCTCCGGAGACGTGTTCGTCCTCTTCTGTGGAGGCAGGTTCTTCATGGTCCTCCGAGTCGTGTGCTGAGGCAGTGACGCTTGACTCGTTGTGGGCAATTGGGGACACGTGGGGCACTAACACAGCCGGGCCGCCTGCACAGGGAGTGGGGAGAGAGTGAGATTTAAGAACGAGGAGATAAGATAGAAGCGGTAGAAATTTTAGAATACACGAAGGAAAGAGAAAAGAATATCGGTAAATAAGAGAAAGGAAATATAGTTATCTTGGTTTAAAATAACATTTTTAGGAGTATTAGCTTTGCACATGATCTTATCTTCTATGATAAATACAAAAACATAATAGTGATACAAACACTTCATCACAATAAGTTCATATTAATCATTCCTATAAACATTAAAACAAAAATAAGAAATACACATAAATTAAATCAATACACACGCAAAAAAAGCCTAGTCAACACAAATCACAAACAGCTCATCTTCACAAGCACAGAGATCAGAGTCCTCTTGTGCTTTGCATTCTGAGATAGCAATATATTGATTAGCAAGCATTTGAAATATCTTGAACTCACCAGCAACGGGGCGGTTAGCCTCCAGAGTAACAGTTCTGGTGGGTCGACTTCCGAAAACTCCACTGCGAAGAAACAAAAAACATTGAAACACTGAATTACAGCCATTCAAAATTATCAAAAATCTTTCAAATCCTAAACTAAACATTCAAAATTTACACACAAAGTAACAGATATATCCATAATATAAATAGAACTTAATGACCGGTATTATTTTTTACTAAATGACCAATGGAATTTTACAGCCAAGAGTACAAGATCTATCCACTAGGTGAAGCAGAACTTACCGGTCATTTTGAAAACATTAAATTCTTTAATAAACAATCGAATTTTACAAACCAAAGTACAGAGAACACAATGACAGCTTCAGAACTTACCGAACGGGACTCGATGCAACACTACCGACAACTGTGTGACGAGAACCTCCGAAGACGTGTTCGTCCTCGTCTGTGGAGGCAGGTTCTTCATGGTCCTCCGAGTCGTGTGCTGAGGCTGTGACGCTTGACTCGTTGTGGGCAATTGGGGACACGTGGGGCACTAACACAGCGGGCCGCCTGCACAGGGAGTGGGGAGAGAGTGAGATTTAAGAACGAGGAGATAAGATAGAAGCGGTAGAAATGAAGAGAATTTTAGAATACACGAAGGAAAGAGAAAAGAATATCGGTAAATAAGTGAAAGGAAATATAGTTATCTTGGTTTAAATAACACTTTAGGAGTATTAGCTTTGCACATGACTATCTCCTATGATAGACATAATCATAATAGTGATACAAACACTTCTGCATCACAATGAGTTCATATTACGCATTCCTCCTAAACATTAGAGCATTAAAACAAAATAACAAATAAAATAAAAAAGATAGTAACAGACCTGGTGGGTCGACTTCCGAAAACTCCACTGTAAGAAAAACAAAGAAAAACATTAAACACTAAAACATTAAAAAGAAAAAAAAGAAAATCCTAAATAGACAATGAAATTTACAACCGAAGTATAACAGAACTCACCGGTCATTATGAAATCTTTAGACTCCTTTAATGAACAATCGAATTTATACACCCCAAAGTACAGAGAACCAAATGACAGCTTTAGAACTTACCGGATGGGACTCGATGCAACACTGCCGACGACTGTGTGACGAGAACCTCCGGAGACGTGTTCGTCCTCTTCTGTGGAGGCAGGTTCTTCATGGTCCTCCGAGTCGTGTGCTGAGGCAGTGACGCTTGACTCGTTGTGGGCAATTGGGGACACGTGGGGCACTAACACAGCCGGGCCGCCTGCACAGGGAGTGGGGAGAGAGTGAGATTTAAGAACGAGGAGATAAGATAGAAGCGGTAGAAATTTTAGAATACACGAAGGAAAGAGAAAAGAATATCGGTAAATAAGAGAAAGGAAATATAGTTATCTTGGTTTAAAATAACATTTTTAGGAGTATTAGCTTTGCACATGATCTTATCTTCTATGATAAATACAAAAACATAATAGTGATACAAACACTTCATCACAATAAGTTCATATTAATCATTCCTATAAACATTAAAACAAAAATAAGAAATACACATAAATTAAATCAATACACACGCAAAAAAAGCCTAGTCAACACAAATCACAAACAGCTCATCTTCACAAGCACAGAGATCAGAGTCCTCTTGTGCTTTGCATTCTGAGATAGCAATATATTGATTAGCAAGCATTTGAAATATCTTGAACTCACCAGCAACGGGGCGGTTAGCCTCCAGAGTAACAGTTCTGGTGGGTCGACTTCCGAAAACTCCACTGCGAAGAAACAAAAAACATTGAAACACTGAATTACAGCCATTCAAAATTATCAAAAATCTTTCAAATCCTAAATAAACATTCAAAATTTACACACAAAGTAACAGATATATCCATAAATATAAATAGAACTTAATGACCGGTATTATTTTTTACTAAATGACCAATGGAATTTTACAGCCAAGAGTACAGATCTATCCATAGGTGAAGCAGAACTTACCGGTCATTTTGAAAACATTAAAATTCTTTAATAAACAATCGAATTTTACAAACCAAAGTACAGAGAACACAATGACAGCTTCAGAACTTACCGAACGGGACTCGATGCAACACTACCGACAACTGTGTGACGAGAACCTCCGAAGACGTGTTCGTCCTCGTCTGTGGAGGCAGGTTCTTCATGGTCCTCCGAGTCGTGTGCTGAGGCTGTGACGCTTGACTCGTTGTGGGCAATTGGGGACACGTGGGGCACTAACACAGCCGGGCCGCCTGCACAGGGAGTGGGGAGAGAGTGAGATTTAAGAACGAGGAGATAAGATAGAAGCGGTAGAAATGAAGAGAATTTTAGAATACACGAAGGAAAGAGAAAAGAATATCGGTAAATAAGTGAAAGGAAATATAGTTATCTTGGTTTAAAATAACACTTTTAGGAGTATTAGCTTTGCACATGACTATCTCCTATGATAGACATAATCATAATAGTGATACAAACACTTCTGCATCACAATGAGTTCATATTACGCATTCCTCCTAAACATTAGAGCATTAAAACAAAATAACAAATAAAATAAAAAAGACGAATAATGAATATTAAAACTACACAAATCACAAACAACCATCTTCTCAAGCACAGAGGTCAGAGTCCTCTGGTGCTTTGCATCCTGATATAGTAATATATTGATTAGCAAGCAATTAAAATATCTTGAACTCACCAGCAACGGGGCGGTTAGCCTCCAGAGTAACAGTTCTGGTGGGTCGACTTCCGAAAACTCCACTGCGAAGAAACAAAAAACATTGAAACACTGAATTACAGCCATTCAAAGTTATCAAAAATCTTTCAAATCCTAAACAAACATTCAAAATTTACACACAAAGTAACAGATATATCCATAGGTTAAATAGAACTTAATGACCGGTATTATTTTTTACTAAATGACCAATGGAATTTTACAGCCAAGAGTACAGAAGATCTATCCACAGGTGAAGCAGAACTTACTGGTCATTTTGAAAACATTAGAATTCTTTAATAAACAATCGAGTTTTACAACCCAAAGTACAGAGATCCCAATGACAGCTTCAGAACTTACCGAACGGGACTCGATGCAACACTACCGACAACTGTGTGACGAGAACCTCCGAAGACGTGTTCGTCCTCGTCTGTGGAGGCAGGTTCTTCATGGTCCTCCGAGTCGTGTGCTGAGGTTGTGATGCTTGACTCGTTGTGGGCAATTGGGGACACGTGGGGCACTAACACAGCCGGGCCGCCTGCACAGGGAGTGGGGAGAGAGGGAGATTTAAGAACGAGGAGATACGATAGAAGCGGTAGAAATGAAGAGAATTTTAGAATACACGAAGGAAAGAGAAAAGAATATCGGTAAATAAGAGAAAGGAAATATAGTTATCTTGGTTTGAAATAACACTTTTAGGAGTATTAGCTTTGCACATGACTATCTCCTATGATAGACATAATCATAATTGTGATATAAGCACTTCTGCATCACAATGAGTTCATATTACGCATTCCTCCTAAACATTAGAGCATTAAAACAAAATAACAAATAAAATAAAAAAGACAAATAATGAATATTAAAACTACATAAATCACAAACAACCATCTTCACAAGCACAGAGGTCAGAGTCCTCTGGTGCTTTGCATCCTGATATAGTAATATATTGATTAACAAGCAATTAAAATATCTTGAACTCACCAGCAACGGGGTGGTTATCCTCCAGAGTAACAGTTCTGGTGGGTCGACTTCCGAAAACTCCACTGTGAAGAAACAAAAAACATTGCAACACTGAATTACAGCCATTCAAAGTTATCAAAAAGCTTTCAAATCCTAAATAAACATTCAAAATTTGCACACAAAATAACATATCTATCCACACGTGAAATAGAACTTAATGGTCTTTATTGATTTTTTTTTCTTAATGATCAATTGGATTTTGCAGCCAAAGGTATAGAAGATCAATCCACAGGTGAAGCAGAACTTACCGGTCATTATGAAAACGTTACAGTCCTTTAATGAACAATCGAATTTTACAACCCAAATTACAGAGAACCCATTGACAGCATTAGAGCTTACCGGCTGGGACTCGATGCAACACTACCGACGACTGTGTGACGAGAACCTCCGGAGACGTGTTCGTCCTCTTCTGTGGAGGCAGGTTCTTCATGGTCCTCCGAGTCGTGTGCTGAGGAAGTGACGCTAGACTCGTTGTGGGCAATTGGGGACACGTGGGGCACTAACACAGCCGGGCCACCTGTACAGGGAGTGGGGAGAGAGGGATATTAAAGACCGAGATGATAGAAGCGGTAGAAACTCAGAGAAATTAGGGGTAGCAGGAGATAGAAGCGGTAGAATTTAGGATAATTTAGGGATATGAGTTACTTCAAATACGAAATTTTCTCTATGAAAGCACTAACTCAATCTATTCACACAAATACAACGCATATATCTTACTAGGAGCAGCGATGACCGCGGCCACCACAGCCAGCAAACACAGAGCTAAGAAAACCTTCATTTTGCAAGAACTGTTATTTTTTTCTGTGAGATGTCTTCACCTGATCTGTGCCTCTCGACCAACGCGCTGTGGTATTTATTTGAGGCCAGCAGTTGCCAGAGACTGCCAGGTGATCAATTGCATACTAGAATATACTTGTTTCTCCACCTGTTGCATTCCTATCTCCTTAAGGGACGAGGTCAAATGATGCGTCACAAGGAAAGGTAGTACATTCAATTAATTTTCGTTTTGATGTCTCCGACTGAAAAGATTTCCTAGGTGTTCATCATTAAAAGACGTCACGAATTTCTGGAAGACTGGAAGAAAACGTGACATGCTTTTCAAACAGTATTTTCCCCCTAATAACTAGGAAATATGTTAAGGGAAATCAATAATTCTTAGATTAATTTGTAGAAGGAAAATTATGAACTCAACCCTGCTTTCTCTTTGTGTATCCATCGCCATATTTCTCTACCTCTCTCTTTCGCTCTGTCTATATCTCTATCTCTCTCTCTATATATATATCTTCATATATTTCTACACATAAATAAACATTTATACACACACACATACATATATATGAATATATATATTCGTATATATAAATACACACATGTACGTATATATATATATATACATATATATATATATATATATATATATATATATATATATATATATATATATATATATACCCATAAATATGCATTTATATGTATATGTATATATAATTTTTTGTATACTTGTATATATGTATATATGAATATATATATGTATGCACACACGCACACACACACACACACACGTGCGCGAGCACACATACATATACATATATATAAATAAAAATAAGAATATAAAATTTTGAATTATTTGTTTCCTTGTTTTTTAGTAATAAATAAAAAATAATATCAAAATTAAAATCTTAAATCTCGTCCTTCGTGTTGCTCTAGCTCATGTTCAGTAGTTACTATTAAAAATAAAAATAAATAAAATAAGATAAAATAAATAAAAAATGAAATGCCACAAAATTAAATAAAAACTCGATCTTTAATGTATTTGCACAAACACACATATATACATATATATTTATATATAAACATATATGTTTATATATAAACATATATTTATATACACACACACACACACACACACACACACACACACACACATATATATATATATATATATATATATATATATATATATATATATATATATATATGTGTGTGTGTGTGTGTGTGTGTGTGTGTGTGTGTGTGTATGCACTGGCAGAATAGCTGTCAGTGTCATCTATGTGGCTAGAGGCCTAGTTTATGATTATTCTATCCTTAGCGAGAATCCTCTGCGTTATGGTAAGCACAGTGGTTAGGAGGTAGATGTAATTGGGTATGCTGTGCTGTAGCCAGTCAACGGTTGTCTGGAATCTGTATGTATGACCACGTGTCCTTCCCTCAGGGATGCGTGGGCTAGGGCTCCCATGATCGCAACTGCTTCTGCCTGTAGCGATGAGGCGTTGTCTGTTAGCCTGATGGATTTTGTCGCATCCCTTGTTGCAAAGCCGTGACAGCTGCAATGACCCTCTCGGCTTCTGCCTTCGGACTAGGCCTGGGGTATTGGTTGTTTCTCCTTGACAAGCTCATGACACAGATCTCAATTAAGGTATGTGGCCACAGTTGGGCGTCAATAAAGTCAGGGTAGATTGAGTCCATGCCCTTAGCAAGTAGTTGCTGTTTGAACTGATAGCGTATCAACAGCCTGGCTGTGTGAAAGCCAGGGGTTGCTTGCGAAGAGTTCCTAATCGTGTTCTAGGCGTGTGAGTAGTTGTTGTTTGATGCTTGTGTTTCTGGGAGTCTGAATGATCTTTGGAAGGAACTGTGCTGCCATTAGTTCAGTTCGGGAGTTGAGGGGGAGAAGGTTTGCCTCCATGAGGAGGTTGAGGACCTTCGTCCACCTTGGGGCGATCAGAGCAGCTCTATTTTGAACTGCCTCCAATATTTCTCTTTCTCTTGGCTTAGTGGCAATCAGGGCGACAGAAGCACAGTCCACAATGGGACGGATGACATGTACACAGAATGATCTTAGTACTTTATGTCCAGCTCCTATGTGTCTCCCAGTCATTGGTCTCATAACAGACAGTGTTGTTTTGATTCGGTCAACCAGTTACTAGACCTCCTTTTGGAAGGAGAGTGACTGGTCAATCCTTACCCCAAGGTACTGGAAGACTTAGGCCCAGTCTAGGTCTGTTCCCTGAACATTGTGTCTGAGAGTTATGCGTAAATCTTTAGTACTGTCTTGCAACATTCCTCAGATATAAGGTCCAGACAGCGCTGGGCTCTTCTTAGGCAGTGTGGTCTAGTGGAGATGATTGCAAGAGTGTCTCCATAGGAGATGATCTCGCACCCCAGTAGGAGGTGTATGTTGAGGATACAGGACATTTGGATGCTAAAAAGGGCTGGATTGAGGTTCCCATCCTGTGGTATTCCGTTTTGTAATGGTTTGTGCTGTGATAAATTACATTGGAATCTGACTTTGGCTATTCTGTTCGTGAAATAGTCACCTATCCAGGCTAAGAACTTTCCTATGATTCCCTTGTGGATCAGGGTCTCCTGAATAGCAAGAGGATTTGTTCATTCAAATGCCTTCTCCATGTCTAGGAATACTAGATGTGACAGAGTGCTGGTTGTGCTTATGAGCGTGGCTATGCTGTGTGCTGTGATCAAGATATGTAAATACTACTGCATTACATCAGATTTACGTGATTCTGATAAATATCAAACCGTCAGTTAAAAAAAACCTTAGAGAATAGAAATATCAGTTTATACTGGCTGTACCTTGGCCAGTATTTTACTTACACTCTTGAGGCTAGTCTTCTGTCTTATTTATTGTGCTATATATGTAGCACAATGTCGAGTTCTTCGTTCACGAAGATCTTATTCACTCACTGGTTGGTGGACAGTAAAACATTTGCTTTCCACCAACATTTATTATAATATAGAGTTATATAGATATATAGGGTTTACCCTTACAAAAATAACACAGTGCTTGACAAAAGTGAACTAACCTCTGGAGCGCCGGCGCGCTCCAGCTTATATATGGGAAAACTGCTGCAGTCAGCAATTCCCCTAGCCTCGAGACAGGCTCCTGGGCATATGCCCCAGTACTCACCTCTGCGGTGAATACATACTCATTCATGATGAGTATGTGACTATAAAAGATACATGGAAAGCTATACATGACATATATATATTATACGTACTATTGCACAAATATAAGATTACTTATCATATTGAATGAGTATACATGAATACGCTATGAGTAATTTACAATATACATGAGTAATCGTTATACATTACTCTCGATTACTTGACTCCCCATGACAAGTTTTCTTTTGTCATGTTTCTACTATCCGTTGAACGTGATTATGTCAAGTGAAAATCACGGCAGAAATCTAATTTTGTAGATCAGTTTATGACATTAAGAATTTTGAGTTTCCGGTTGTAGCATTAATGCTCTGGTTGAAAAGTAATGAAACAACCTGTAGAAATATTAATTTTTATTAAGACAGTTGTACATTTCATGCAGCATGTTAAAGTTGAAAGTCATCACGCCAGACAAATAAAACGAAAGTATACAAAGAGGTTTCCATGTACGTGAAATAAAAGGACTAGAGTTGTTATCCATGCAGGCTAGAAATCCTCAGCCATGAATGGTGAAAAAATGTATTCAATAGACAAGGTTGTTGTAAAGCTGAAAAAGAAAAAGGTCACAGTGAAAATGAGAACCGTTATTAAATAAAGAGCATGCAAACGACTTCGTCATAGCCGACTTGTGATTAAACGTAGAGCAACGCAATAGCTTTAACTGAACTCGAGTTGGTTGGACTTCTCGACGACCTTGTTGAGGTCGAAGACCTCGGCGTCAGGCTCGACCATGACCATCCCTTGCCTATCCGCAGGGAGGAAGTTGACGGCTGTGTCGCGGCTGAGGTCCGGCGCCGGGTGCCCTGCGCCGTCTTCCACAGGCACCTCCTCCGCGTCCTGGTCAAGCCTGTTGAAGGTGTAGGCAGCAGCGAGGGGCGCCGGCTGGAAGGAGGGAGGGTCGTGGCGGGGGAAGGTTATGGGGCGGAAGTCGAAGTGACGGAGACTCATCGTCCTGGACGCCTGTAGCCACGCCCAGGTGTCGGAGGGAAGGGCCTGGCGCGGAAAGGGGCTGTTAGGGGCTTGTGAGGATCGTATGGGATGGATTATGTCGCGTGTGGACTTTCAAAAGAATCATTGGGTAGAATATGGTAGATTTACAGAAAAGAGAACATAAACATCAACAGCAAAGCATACTATTCTTACCTTTTACTCCACGACTCAATTTGCAGGAAGTGAGCACTTGACGAGAAGCTAAAATCGTGTGTATATTAGTTAATGAAACTTTCACAGTGAGGAACTTCATGCCTTCCTCTTCTGGAAACTTGTTTTAATAACTTTAGCAGCAGCAATAGCTTAGGAGTTTGCATATTCTCAATGGCACTCCACTTGTAATAAAAGCAAACACAAAAACTGGACAAATACATACACAGGTGAAAGAAAGCGAGACAAAAGATACATATCTGGTTTTTATTTAGATATATTTTTTTTACAGAATTAACCAATGGAATTAACAGTCCAAGATACACAATGATCAAATAGCTGCTCACTGTTAATTACATATCACGAGTAACTGAAAAGTTAATACAAAGGAAATACACAAATGATACTAAAAGAAAATAGACAGATCTAGGCGGGAACATTCCACAGATGAAACGGAATAATGCTTTAACACAGACAACACACGAGTGAGGACTTTCTCTGGAAATGTGTTCAAGTGAACGAAGCGAAGCAGTTCATCCACAAGCCAGTCGTGTTCGAACCCTTTGAGCTTTGTTCACACGAACCTATTTTTTTTTCTCAGAGTTATGATGTAACAGTGTATTCCTTCAAACGACAAACACAATTATAAGTTAACAAAAAACAGGAACAGGGTATAGCTCAGCTATTGTTTATACATTTTTTTGTTTGTTTTGAAATGTAGCGTTGGTGAGCAAAGCGGTCAGGGCA